GACGCAATTCTCAGCCGGGTTCATTTGATCATTATGAAAATTCAACGTCACCGTTCAAAATCGGTTTGCCGCTCCCTTATTGAGCCCATGTCTTTACCTCTCCGTCTTGAGTATTGATCGACTGGCAAGCTGGGCTGCTGGGGTCCCTCTAGCTATGGATCCCTTTCGCCGTTTTCCTGCTCTTGATTGCAATTTTGTGTCAATATGAAGAGATCCTGAACTGCACCTGTTACTATGTTGAGTTTGATTGAGTCTAATTAACTAGTCACATGATGTTTTCCGTCTTCTGTGATTTGCGGTGCACATTCAAGCACGGTCAGTTCTTCGCTTTTTGTTTGTGCCCAATATATTATACAGTGATAAGGCCACAGTTACCCTCCTTGCTGAAGCCAAACTGAATTCCCATTTCATGACAGGCCATTTCAAAGGGCAGGAAGGATTGTTGTGTTGACTCTTGAACTCTAAAGTTCGTGGAGTGAAGAATAGCCCCTGCAGTCATCACCAAAGTGTAAGGCTGGATCTCAATTCTTTTGAGATTCGGCAGCCGCTCTCGTTGCGCTAGCATAGTCTCAAGATTCTTGCTGACAATTTCGAAGTCCTCCTCGTGGTAGTGAGCAAGATTGAGGAATTCTAAGCTTGGTGGAAGAACCTCCAGGAGAGATACTTTCGGTCGATCGCTTGAGCCAAATTGCAAAACCGTGCGCAATGGCATCCGAAGCTCACGTAGCTGGTGGAATTCTGCTAGAGATCCAAACCCATTAAATCCCTCAGTGTCTTCATCAAACCCGCTCTCTCCAGTCTCTCCATTATTATTCAATCGAAGTTCCCGAAGGCTGTGCTTTTGAGAACATAGTGCGTTGTAGAATAGCAGAGGGTAAAAGTCTGTGTAGACTTCACCCCATATGCTTTTGTTATCGTGCTGATAGTCGAAGATCTCCAAATTGGCACACGAAATGATGTATTCGGCGAAGCCATTGGCCCCATTATTCGTATTAAAGCGACCGAGGTCGATTTTCCTGATCGTAGAGGTCCCCGGCTTAAGTGACGCGATACCGGGATCAACTTCACAGACCCCCCCTGCAGTGAACACTCGCATTGCGGGAAGATAGAAGAATGGTAATATTTCATGTGCCAGGTAGTATTCCTTGGGATCGTCTACCCAAATGTCCACGCTTTCTAGCAGTTGGAGAACTGGCTTCGGGCTGGATAGATTTCCATTGGCGGCAATTCGCGTTACCATGGGTAGGAAATGGGGCGAGCGTGAAAATCTCAGCGTCATACTCTTGATAGATTTGAGCGATAGCACAAGCACTGCGAGCCAGGCATCAGGGCATCCTGTCCGCAGACTTTCTTCCCATGCGGCAAGATCATCTGCAGCGTCGCCCGCTTGCTTCAAGGTTTCCACAAGCCCATCGACGTCATAATCATTCCCAGGTTCTGACTTGGAGTAATACCAATCAACACTCAGATTTTGGATGGCAGTACCTATTCTAGGATTGTTTCGAACGGCGCGGGAAAGAGGATAGATTTTGAGGGCGTCAACAGAGATTGTTTTGTATGCTTTCGGGAAGAAGATCGAATACCAATCATGGCACACCACTAGAAGGTTGAGTTGATCGCTTTGGTCATCTAGGTGCTCACTGATAAGGAGAAAAATGTCGTTGTTGAGAGACATCTTGGTAAACAAGCATTGGAGGCGTATCGACAGCACAGAGAAACAAAATATCTGTAGATAACTCTGCTATTGGCTACAGATGGAGAAATGAAGAGTACAATTCGAGGAGAAATTGAAGAAGAGAGAGAAAGTGGTAGGGAGAGCTAAACTATAGAATTGGCATCGAAACTGGTCGGGGGATAGAATTTAAAGTTGGATTTTTTCAGATAAAGCGTCTCTAGTGGTCCACTGACTACGGACCCTAATAGTGCTTGCGTCAAAGAAGCAACTCTTTCTTGGTAAAAACGTGGTGTTGAAATATCTAGCAGGCTCTACGGCCTCTTTAATTAGTTCATCGTAGTTGTAATTTGAAGAGCTACCGTATGATACCCTTTCCATGGAGGATATTTTGCGACTGGTGCGAATGCGGAGTGTTTGCCCCTTATAGGAGAGGCCTGAGAGGGACACCAAAAACCACAGCACCAGTTGACACTCCTCGGTCGATGGAAGACATCGCCGAGGGAGCGAGCGTTCTTAACTACATCGAGAATAATGGCTCATAGGACATATACATCACGGGATACATCCGTGCTATCCGCCAGTTCGTACTCAACGCCCAACGGGGAGACGGCCAGGGGATCGCCAAGGTGCTCGAAGCGCCGACCAAGATCAACGCCGAAACCGAACGTCTAAACCAGCGAATTGATACTAAAAGTCAACAAAGATTTTAGCAACCAATGTGTCCACCTCTGCGGCGAATTCTGCAGCGATGTGGCGCGGCTTCGAGCCGGGTTCACCCTTCATATAACCGAGAAGACTGTTGAGACTCAGTTGAATAACACGAGCAATACATGGAACTCAGATGATCAGTGTTGTATTGCTGATATTAAGCGACTCCGACTTGAAGGGAGATGGAAGATAAGCCAATGGAAACAAGTTTGAATCGAATTCAAAGGCAGTCGGAGCTGGTCCCTAAATGTCCAACACTAGTCCAATAAGAACAAAAAATCCTTGACATGTCAGAGTAGTGTATAATTTCTGGAGTAGCATACTGTCTCGCAGCCAGGTCGAGTGGGTGGAACGAAAAGGACGGCCGTTTCTACCGTCGAAAGTGGTCATTTTCGGCGTCACTTTCATAGGTCCTCATATTCTAGTTATAAAATAGGAAAAATTGTGACGGAAGCAAACATGAAAATATTCAATACACTTGAAGACATCGATTCTAGCATCTAATATAGTGAATTATTTCATAGACCTTTAATCGAGAAATGCTAAGTAGATACTTTGAAGCATGAATACATATATAACTGAACTCCCATTTTATCAATATTTATATTGCATAGTCTATGAAGGTATACTATTTCATGCCCAAGGACTATGTAAAGCATACTTCCACAAGCAGACTAGTGCTACCTAGTAACCTTGACTTCCATTAGATTGAATGGGATCAATAATAAATAGATATTGTACAGCCATAGAGAATACTGCCTAAGGGGGTTGGAATTGAATCATGTACTGTAAAGTGCAAGAAAATAGACTGCCCATAGCTAGGTCTCTTCTAGGAGTATCTCTGAAAATACGGATTTAACTAAACAACATTAAGACCTTAACTCCATTAAACACCGATGTTTATATTTGTAATCGCCGGTCAAGCTTCCTAGGTTTCCAGGCTGTAATAGGCCATTGCGGGGGATGACGGGATTGAGGGGAACCATAAAAGCCAGGTTCCTCGCTCTTTTGCCTATCTATCCTAATCCTTGAACATTTCATATATCTATAGCTCCATAAGTCATCATTCACAATGGTTAAAGTTCTCTTGACTGGTATGTGATTTTATATATGTCCTCGAATCGAATCTAATTATCTGTTTTAGGAGGCAGTGGCTTCATCGCCGCCCACATTGTCGACATTCTGCTACAGCATGGGTATGATTTAGCCACATAGACATCACATACATATTGTTGGTTGACAATTTTGCTCTAGTTTTGACACAGTTGTTACTGTCCGATCGGAGGAGAAGGGTAAACGAATTATTGAGGCTCATCCCGGCGTGTCGAAGGAGAAACTCTCTTATGTGATTGTCCAGGATGTAGCTAAGGACGGTGCATTTGATGAGGTTAGTAGAAGATAATTTCCCTGATAGATACTCAACTAACAGAAATACAACAGGCCGTCAAATCCAACCCTCCCTTTGACTATGTTCTCCATACCGCATCTCCTTTCCATTTTAATGTGCAGGACCCTGTGAAAGACTTCCTTGACCCGGCCATCAAGGGAACAACCGGTATTTTGAAAGCAATCAAAGAATACGCCCCTACCGTGAAGCGAGTGGTAATCACGTCATCTTTTGCTGCCATCGTGAACGGCAAGCAGCACCCCAAGGTCTACAGCGAGAAAGAATGGAACCCGTTGACGTGGGAGGAGGCAATGGACCACTCGTCAGTTTACCGTGGTAGCAAGGTAGGTGATATTTGACTGTCAGTCTGAGTAAATTCCAGCGTTAATTCGGTTCTATATCAGACCTTTGCGGAGAAAGCAGCCTGGACCTTCGTCGAGAAAGAGAAGCCGAATTTCGATCTTGCTACCATCAATCCACCACTAGTATTTGGCCCGATCGTTCATTATCTCAATTCTCTTGAGGCCATCAATACCTCGAACCAGCGCCTCAGAAACATCGTCCAGGGTGAAATGAAGGAGAAACTAGCTCCAACGGGCAATTTCCTGTGGGTGGATGTGCGCGATGTGGCCCTCGCACATGTCCGAGCCATTGAAGTTCCTGAAGCAGGAGGCGAGAGATTCTTTGTCACCGCTGGCTTCTTCTCGAACAAGGAACTTGCAGATATTGCTCGCGAGACCCACCCCCAGTTAGAGTCTAAGCTGCCCCCTGCAGACGCTCCCAGCGACTTCCCGGAACACATCTATGAGATTGACAACACTAAGTCGCAAAAGGTCCTTGGACTCGAGTATCGCCCGCTGAAACAGACAGTCTCAGACGCCATTGATTCTATTCTAGCTGTTGGTATTTAAATTCGGAGTGTCCTCGTTCATTTTATAGATCTAGATTGGATTGATGGATACATTGTAAAAGAAGAAAGCAAATACTCTTCTTCTGCCCTACTTGTACCAAGGCAATTTAATTAACAAATTTCATCAAGCGCCATCGCATCTTACATCTTATAATAAAATTAATCCACGCGGCAAAGATTGGTGGATCTCAGGTACATCGTATAGATATAAAACCGCGGGTTTGGTCGTTGCGGCTCACCGTACCGCTTTGGCCCGTGTTCTCCAGTCAACTTTTCTCGCGCCAGCTATTCAAGATCACATAGTCAATTCATTGAACAAGATGGCCTCCGCCAGGCTATCGCCAACGGCGAACTTGCTGCGAAATTCGCGTTTGTTCGCACTCCCTAAAACTCTCAAGGGCCGTAATGACCTAACGTCGAGAGAATCCGACACCGCAACTCTGCCTCACCCCATTCGAGCCTCCATCGTTACACCACAATCATCACTAGCTCGAGGCGATTGGGGATTGAAACGACCTTTACCGGCTAAGTCAACATCGGAGAAATCATCGAGACCTGTCGTCAGGGTGCACGCCCTCGATACCTATGAACATGTCACCGACTTCGAATCCGCCGCAGATCACACTGTGACCCTCGAGAAGTTCCAGGAACTACACATGCCTATGTCTCTCCCCTCCAAAGTCAATTACGCTACAAGTGTTGTGCCAAGGCATCAAAGTCCGTTCGAAACGCATCTCGATAACACCGAGACCAGCCAGGGTCTCCAGGAACCTGGTGCCAAACAATTCAGACACAACGGTCCTTGGCTTGCTGGGCAGACGGAGGCAGAGTTTGCGGCATACTTGAAGCAAGTGACTCGCAATAAGCCTGAGCTCCTGCAGAAGCTTCGTGAACAGTTTGTCGCTAAGCGGTCTGCTGAGATCCGGAAACTGGCACAGGATAATGGAGAGGACTTGGACACCCATCCCGTAACTGTCACCGATGCGGAGTTCAATGCCTACATTAAGGCTCTGCGCAATGACCCATTCGCTCTCGGTCCTGTGGTATTTGATCTACTTGACCTCGCTTCCCCCCCGGCGGTTCCTAGCGAGCGTATCGGACGCAAATACTATCAAGCCCCTGGAAGCAAGTTGTCCTCATTCGAATACGCCGTCTCAGGACCCCCCAAGACACACCCGTCTGGCGGTCTGTCCTACACGCGATCACACGCCCTGATTCACAACCATGCCCAGTTTGGCCCACAAGCCCACCAGCGCCCTGTGGAGGCTCGCATCTTGCGCCCCAAGGGCCGCTTTAAGGGACGCATGGCACGTGCCCTCGCAGGTATCGGTGGTATTGCCGTTGAAGATTTGAATGCTATGACCTTTGTGGAGCAAGGCACACCCCCCGGTCTGACTTTCTTCGATGCATCCATCCCTGGTGGAGGTAAATACTGGGTCACACCGATCCGGGCTTCGATTGACTCCGACGGCCGTATTGGCCTTTCATCTTATCGCGCGAGTGCAACCGCCAAGGCTCCTTACGGAATCGAAGACTACCACAAGCCGACCACCTTGACCATTTCCGATGTTGCCAATACCCCATCCCCGATCGTCCCAAGATTGGACAGGCAGCCATTCGGCCAGCCTCGGTTCCAGCCTTCCGGGGAGAACCGGACCCGGAGGCAACCCACGAGGGGGACAGAGGACGTTGCACGCAGCCTTCTCAATAACCTCAACTCTAGGTCGTAGGGAAAAGTGAAATATGGGTGGATGTGCAAGGGATTGTACCATGTATGATAGATTGGTGCTTGTGTAAGCTACTTTTATTTTTCTTTTCTGACTATGTCATATAAATCGATGCATCAATATCAAGTTATTTTCACAGCGATCATTGCAAAGACCCATTCTCCACTGAAGGGAGAATAACAGCACATAGGTTTGAGAATGGTACACTTAAGGATGTACCTTTTGATGTGTTTGCTACCTTCCTAAAAGAGCAAGCGCGATCCATGGATATCGTATATTACATAATACAATAAAATAACATAACCACGTGACCTATTAGGGCCTAGGGCAAGGACCCGCACAAGAGGACTAAGCGAAAGCCCTCTCAAACTTATCCAAATCGGCACGAATACTCTCGATCTTTCGAACATTCATTCCGCCAGCCAACAACCGCCAAAATGGGTCGCGTCCGTACCAAGACAGTCAAGCGCTCCGCTAAGGTCATCATCGAGCGTTACTACCCCAAGTTGACCCTCGACTTCGAGACCAACAAGCGTATCTGTGATGAGATCGCCATCATTGCCTCCAAGCGTCTTCGCAACAAGGTGAGATTCAATACCTTGGAACCAACAACTGGAGAGCTCCAATTCTGATTCGCAATTTCTTCTAGATCGCTGGTTACACTACCCACCTGATGAAGCGCATCCAGCGTGGTCCCGTCCGCGGTATCTCCTTCAAGCTTCAGGAGGAGGAGCGTGAGCGCAAGGATCAGTACGTTCCTGAGGTCTCCGCTCTCGACGTCTCCCAGACCGAGTCCGGTCAGCTCGACGTTGACGCCGACACCAAGGACCTTCTCAAGTCCCTTGGCGTAAGTTTTCACTGCACTGCAATACCTTGGCATATATCTAATATATCTCTACAGTTCGACAACCTCAAGGTCAACGTTGTTGCCGTCAGCCAGCAGCAGCAGGCCGAGCGCCCCCGTCGTTTCGGTCCCCGCTAAATCTAGCGCCCGGAATAACGAAAACAAAAGTTCATACCTGGCCTTCGGTCGACCCTTGGCGGTACCCAAATGTCTGTTCTGGCTGGCTTTTCGCCCGGCTAGCATGGTTTAGCTAGTGTGGAAAGCTATTCCTGGATGAGGAATGAATAAACATGATTCTCTTCGAGAAAGGTGTCGCTGATTCTCCGAAAGGAGATGACGCTTGATTGCCATTTTTTTTTCCCTTTCGTGTCTACCTATGAGTTAACTCTCTGGGTTGGACTACGTAGGAGTCCTTGGACTGGAGATAACCTCGGTCCAAGAGACTCGAGACCTTTGCTGGTCAGAGTCATGTCTGGATTTATACATCTACATACATCTCTATGTGTCTATGTATAAGTCCTGCTGGCCAGCCTATAGCCATACATATGGTCTCGCGTAGATTGTTCATTACTCATGTGTCAATGTCACCATTGATCGGGTATTAAAAAGTAGAACGCCGAAAAGCCCGTTGGAAATCCCACAGCAACCCTGCTATATCAGATCTGATCGAGCAGATCTATGTCTCCATCCTGGTCCATGTCTCGTCGCTCCCTGGGCACGTATCCTTCAATGGAACCACCATTTGCATCCTCCGGACGCATTTGTGGAGCGTCAGCAACCTGCTGAGAACCATGTTGATTCTCTCTGATATCAACGTTCACACGTCCATCCGGACGAATCAAACTGGTATCACCGCGTTCCAACGCAAGCTCCCGGGACCGATCGCGATTCCCAAGTCCCATGCTCTGCAAATCATTCACAACGGAAGAAACACTGCTAGTAGCCGCTGGTGCTTTTAAGCGTTTGGCGCGGGCTTCTTCAAGTAGTAAAATGGTCGTGCCCCGCGTATCGCCCGCCCGTCGTTCCCACACAGGCTTCTCGGACAGCTGCACCCGGATCCAAAGAGCACGCTCTGCGCATGCATCTGAGCACCACTTTTCTATGCGGTCCTGAGAAACGATATCCACGCTGCGGCCGCGTCCTCCTGGCCCGCTTCCTTTGGGACCGTATTTAAATTGGAACCCGCCTTGTGGGCCGTTGTTTTTCTTGCGATGCTTGCGAGGACATAGAGCATACCCGCACAAATCTTCGAAGTTTCGCTCCAGGATCAGATTGTCGTAGTCGCTGGGGCGGAATGGGGCGAGTGAGTATTTGAGTTTTACGGTGTCTTCTTGAGATGGTGTGGCAGGGTCCGCTGCCGGGGAGGAGGGGAGCTCGAGGAGCTCGAGAATGTGGTTTAGGATCACATCTTCGGCGTCTTTTTGGGTCTGGATCTGCTGCGCGTGTTCCAGAGCGATTTCGAGGTGCTGTTGGGTCGCGCCGGGCCTACCTTCTAGGTATTTGTCTTGCTCTTCTTGTGAAGGGTATAGGTATGAAGGTGGGGGTTGCTGGGCATTGATGGCGGCATATGTCTCGGGAAGAGAGGTCTTGAGAGGGTGGCTTGGCCCTTGCTGTGCCATTATTTATAATTGAGGCCCCTGGAAGATCACCCAAGGTAAGTTGAATTGAAAATGAGTTGAGTCGTAAAGTGAGACGAAATCGAAAAATTAAAATTAAACCAGCAGAATTCGGCTCCAAAGCGGAAGAGGCGAAAAACCCCGGATTGACCCCCAATGGGAGCGACACTTCACTGCTGACGTAGGCTTTGGGCATCTAAGACTTTTATTATAAAAAGTTTCATCTTTGACTTTGGGGATCGCATAGCTTGTTCATATTGTATACTCCGTGTAATATATAGTTACTCGACATTTAGTACAATTTACATAAATATCATTTTTTTCTTCGCCTATATAGGCGACGTGTATAGCCGTCCAGCTACCTAGCTGTATATGTACCATGCCATCTAATATATCTCTCCTGAAAACAAGTTGGATACCTACATACATAGATCTAAAATGAATATAAAATCATTTGATATAGAACGGCATTTGCCCCCATGTGCGTGTTCCCTGGTTGATGTGTTAGCCGCCGATCGCCCAGTGGAGCCCATTTCCCTCATCCCGCCAAGTGACGACCACTTCACTACATCCTCTTCCCCTACTACCTTTTTTTTTTGTCTTTCCGACCCTGTTCTTTTTTTTCCATCTTGCATCGAATCTTTGCTGGCCCTGCCTAGGGTGTTCGGTTCTCCACGCCGTGAGTGCTTCCGCAGTTACCCCCCCTCCCCCTCATCTCCTGGCCGTAGGCACCCACTCGTTGACCTCCGTTTCATCTAAGCTGACACGCCTTCGTACCACAAAGGAATTGATTCGTTTCGTTTTAAATATCGCTACATGCTAAACGTATTGAAGCTGGCGATTCGCTCTGTACAGATATTCTAGCGTCATTGCGTCACAGACTCGTTCAGCATTGCTCACTCCACACCGATTGTCCTAAAATCTGAACGTCGGTTTCGACTTGCCAGATGTCAGGTCCGCCATTTACGGTTCGCTCGGTCTTCGAGTATGCTTCGGGCCACGATGACGATCTCAACTTCCCGATCGGTCAAATCGTGACCGTCACCGCCCTCGAGGACGACGATTGGTACTACGGCGAATACTCAGACGCCCAGGGGGCCAAGCAGGAGGGCATATTCCCGAAAAACTTCGTTGAGAAATATGAGCCCCCGGCCCCTCCGAGGCCATCTCGACCCAGGCCGAAAAAGGAGCCCGAGCCGGTGCCAACAGAGTCCCCCGTGGTCGAAAGCAAGCAAGCTGAGCCCGAGCCCGAGCCAGAGGTGCAGCCCACAGAAGATTATGAGATTGCATCCCCGCAGCCACCTCTGCCTCAGTCTCCTCCTCTGCGTGCCAGTGCCCCTGTAGCAGAAGTTGCATCCTCGCCTCCGCAGCCGGCAAAGGCCCCCGCTCCGGCCGCTCCCGTGGCCGCAACTGAACCCGTAGCCAAAGCACCCTCAAAACCTGCGCCTCCAGCCGTGGCGGAGAAGCCTTCGGGGTCGTCATTCAGGGATCGTATTGCTGCCTTCAACAAACCTGCAGCAGCACCAGTTACGCCATTCAAACCGGGTGGTTCCCAGCCATCTTTCATCAAGAAGCCTTTCGTCGCGCCGCCTCCTAGCCGGGACGCCTACAAGCCTCCACCAAGAGAACCTGCACCCAAGGTCTACAAAAGAGAGGAGGATCCCGATGTGAAAGAACAAATTGCCCGGGAGCCTCCGGTTTCTGAAAGCCGGCCTGCTCCTATTGAAGGCGGCGAAGAGGGCGCAGAGGACCAGCCCAAGCCAACCAGTCTGAAAGATCGAATTGCTTTGCTGCAGAAGCAACAATTAGAGCAGGCTCAGCGTCATGCAGAAGCAGCCCAGAAGAAAGAAAAGCCCTCCCGCGCCCCTCCTAAGAAGTCAACGGATGAACCTGCGGCTCCCGTGCTCGATGAGCAACAGGAGGCTCCTTCTGTCGAGGAAACCTCGGCTACTCGGGATCCTAGTGTTGATACCTTGAGGGCTGCACCCCCTCCTCCACAACCCCCCGTCCCATTCTCGCCCACCCAAGAAATCGCGAGTGACGCCAATGATGCCGACGACTCTGCTGCTGCTGAATCCGAGGATGCAGGCGAGACATCCGCTAGTAAGGATGATGAGGAAGATCAGCCTCAGCCTCGTCCGGTCTCCCAGCGCCAACCGTCGACTCGTGCGGTCGAGCAAACTGCCGAGGCGGATGTTGAAGACGAGGGCGATGCAGAGGAAGAGGAAGAAATGGATCCTGAAACAAAGCGCCGAATGGAACTCCGTGAGCGAATGGCTAAGATGAGCGGTGGAATGGGTATGATGGGTCTCTTCGGCCCGCCTGCTGGAGGTATGCCAGGCATGTCTAGTGCCGGTGGTGCTCGCAAGGCCAAGACTCCCGGCGAGTCAGAGAAGAAGCTTGGAGAGCTCGAGCCTGAGCCCACTTCCCCTGCCAATGCGCCCCCAGTTCCTATGATTCCCCTGCCTGGAATGAACGTGGCTAGCAAGCCAGCCCCTTCTTCTATTGAAGTGGAGAAGGAAGAGGAGGAGCCTTCGGCAACT